GTATTATTAATAATATCAAGAAAAGGCTTTGTGTTAAAAGATGAAGTGACTCAATTATTTCTCTCAATAAGAAAGATGGACAAATGGCAGTAACTTGTAATAATCTCCTATTGGCTACTTCAATCGGACAAACGCAGGTCCTACTAAGTGCCTGGCGTGCTTGCTGCTGGTACTACCTCTGGGTAGAACTTCAATAGAGACTCCTGCGTACTTAAAATGAATTGAATAATCCTAGAAATGTTAGCACATTTTTCTCTTTTCTGACAGTGCCAAGCGCTATAAGTAATAACCAGATTTAAACAGAAAAAGCACTCTTTACCTGCATCAATCTTCCCAAGAAAAAACACGCAGACACACATACCATGCACACATGATCCGCGTCAGCTGTATCCCTTGAATGATAAAGGACAATGACTTATTACCAAATATCCTAATAGTCCAAAGCATCAGACAAGTAATTAATCTTATCTTGGTGCTATTTTATAAGAGTCTGCACTTAGTAAGGTACAGCGATCCACATATGTATAAATAAAGGGAAAGAAAAGACTTTTGAACTTAAAAAGTAAATACAATATTTGGTGGTAAAGGTACCTATTAAAAACCATAGCGGAAGTCCAGAAATGAGAATGGAAAAAGTCTATTTCCCCTCGAGGAGTGCAAGTATGAAAATCTGATAGCTAATGAAAGTCACCTATAAAATAAAGGAATATGATGAAAGAGGCAAGTTTCTAAATAAATACATGTACAATGTAGGTTGTTTTACATTAATAATGACTCAAAATGCCTAAAACTCTCAGGGTGCAATCTTTAGAAATTCCATTCTGGGTTTCAGTCCGAAAAAAGGAAAAAAAACCCAAAAAACATACTAAGAAGATTTCAGAATTCTATATCAAAATGATCCACTTCCCCAATGTATATCCTTTTCATATGAGACTTTATGGCCCAATGTCAATACCATTTAAATTTTATGAATTCATCTTTTCTACTCTACATGGGGCCAAAAGATAACAACCTAGGCCTCCAAGCTTTTATGCCATTGATCATATTAGAAACTATAAATTTAGGTATGAAATGTGACCATCTATAGATGCCAAGTAAACTTCATTAAGTTAAAACCAAAACTTGTTGCTTCACATGATTAAAAGAAGTCTATATCCACATAACAGAGTGAATAAAATAACTATAAAACAAAATATATTGAGACCTGTCGAAAATTACATAACTTTCACCCAATTTGCCCACATGTCCCCAATTTGCTTTGGCATACATTAGTCTTTCATGGTTTTTTTTTGCATGTGATTGTCACTAAAAGTCCACACATTTTTTGATTAAGTGATACAAATTAGAACAGTGCTTTCAGATTTCACAAAAGCTAGAAACAAGGTAACAGCTTGCTACACAGAAGAAAAAAAAAAGATTTCCTTGCAGCGTAAACAGAGATACAGGCTGGTAAGGAAAACAAAATCAGCAGCTCCAAGGATATTGGATTTGAGGGAAAAAACCTACCGATGGCTCACAAGTCCTAAAAGGGCAGCTATTATGGATACAGAAATATTACAAGGCCTACGTGTGCAACGTGGCTGAACGTATGCTGATAAGTTCTGCTTATATGATGGAGAGCCTGAATCCGAAAATAAAGTCCAAGTGTTATTTTTGCATCGCTCAACATAGTATAGCGTTCATTTTTGAAAACAAGTAAGGGTGTTCGTTTCTCCTCCTAATTCCTGGGCCTCCATACAAAACAAGGATTTATGACCATGCACAATTTATCTATTACTCTCATTAAGACCCAACAGAAAAACCAATACTTTTCATGAAGTGTGGGTGAGGCAGTAGAGAAAATTTTTAGAATGCACTTATCCAGACCAAACTTAAAGTTTAAGTCACAAGTATTATAAGTTGATGAGGTCTTGTCAGTGTTGTCTTATTAACCCATGTCTGGCATTACCATCTTAGCAGCCTTATGTACCTGGAAAGTTTGCAAGAAAGACGACAACGATTCTACTTAGGGAGTACCTTCAGTTGAGAATGAAATGAAAGGCTGAAAGGTAGGTATTAGATATGCTGATATAAACTTTATCTGACTTTAGACNTTTTTGGTACCCCTGATATTTACTTTTCTTTATTTCAGTTTCTCTTTCTATCCTCCCCACTTTATGTTATTTGATGCAAGATTTACTACTGCTTTCCTGCCACATTGCTTTTACTTTGTTTCTATTTCAGTTTGCTAGAAGATTTACTCTGTAAGTATTCATAATATCAAGATCATACAAAACATTTAAAAACTGCAAGAATCTAAACAACCTGTTCATTAACCATGTGAAAAAAATTAGTTTAAAGGAAAAGTAGTATATTAAATTCTCACTCTCTAATAGGTCACAAAAGTGTGTACTCAAACTCAAAATAAAACGAGATCTCTTTCATGCACATAGGAACAGTCCAAATAGAACTGGTGAGAAGCTCCATTTTATATGCGTGTATACAAAAACATTTTTAAGCTTTCAAAGACATACAGAAACTAACATTCTTCTAGGAAGCCATTTCATGTGGGCTAATTTTAAGGAATACATTAGACTCATCGTCTAATTAGTAGGCTTCCATTTCTAAAAATAAAAAATAAAAAAATTATGTGATAAAGTCCTTTAAAGACATTTTGGTCTCATATGTAGGTTAGACATCTTGGGATAATCTTGTTACCAATAATAATTTACCTTGGAAAACTCCTCATTATAGATTGTACAGAGGTAAATTTAAGCCTAACTTAGGTCATTCCATCACAGCCTAAAAGTATAATCAAATACCCTATGCTTTATACAGAGAAAATGGCTATTACCTACTCAGAAGTATCACTACTAAGTAAACTCATTTAAAAATATCAGACTACTGCTATGAAGGGATATTTCCTCAGAGAAAATTGGGAAATGAGCCATTTCCTGACAATTTGTTTTCTTAATAAATAAATCAATAAACTGCTACCCCATCTCTTTACTTAATACCTTTTTCAACTGAAACTAAAGTTGTCTCTTGTTTAGAAATTTTAAAACCAAGGATCCTTTTGGAATAGGTTTTTGCTGATTATTAGCATTTCATGATGTTGAAGACCATTTAGAAGAATTAATGGAAATTACTACTATTTGCTCAAAACGATCATCTTCAACAGATTTCTTTTTAAAGGGGATGACTATCTTGGCACTGAAATAAGGTCTACTGTGCAAGAAAAAGATTCACACACCATCAAAAGAAACGTGGATTTTCTTTTAGCAGGTGCTGTGTTCAGTATACATTAGCTGACTTGAAGAATAGTAATAATGGGTTTTCCCCCAGAGAACCACAGATGACCAAGGACCTCGGTCACTTACCTTACGGAAGAATGTCCCTTCTCCTGATAGGTGGATTGCCTAATAACCATGGTGCACATACAGCATTGTGGGGGGAGGACTCAGAGTGTATCCAGATTATGGCACGTATCAGCTTTCTTACCCTAAAAACAAATGAAATAACAACCATGGGAAAACACCTAAAAATAATAAAGAATCGTACAGAATCATAGCTGCCTGCGCAGTCTACCGTTTTTTTTTTTAGGTTCTCACAAAACCCTGCTATTGTGTCCATTTTTAGGGAGGAGCTAACTGAGGTCCAGAGAGGTTCAACGAAGTAACAAGGTCACAGGGCGAGTGAGTGAAAAAACAGGGCTGTGAACTCAGTCCAGGTGGCTCTAGGATAAATGGTCCAAATTCTCCTTCCCAGACAAGGCTTGGTTTTGAGCAGAGGATGTCTCACCTGGCTCCCTCTTCTCTTTGGAGATGTCTCCTGAGTCTCCTTGGTTCCTACCTGCCAAGATGGGTCTGGAATCTGATGGTGGGTGTGTAGCAAAGACCATCTCTTTGAGGAAATCCATTTTCTTTGATAACTAACTTCAAAATGCCACGAAGTGACTATATAGTCTACCTTTGGATGAGGTTAAATTTCAGCACTTTGCAACATACTTACACGGCAAAGGAAGAACTCAGATCAAGTCTTAGAGAAAGTGATCTTGATACTTACCTTCACCTCCAAGGTATAAAATAGGATCAATTTTCGGGAATTTTTTTTTTTTCTAAAAGTAGTTTTTTTGGGGGGAAGAAAAGAACTCACACATTTGGAATTTGGATGCAAACACAAATTCTCCATTTTGCTCTATTCAGAATATATTTTCAGACTTGCTTCATTTGAATTACTTTTTAATTGACACTGTCAATCACTTGCTTTTTCTAAACAGGACTGAGAAAATATGTGCATTTAATACAGTAGGTGGCCAGAGTCAAAACGGAATCTATAATAACTAAAAGGAGATTATGTCTTTAAATGCTGGTTCTCAGTATGTCCAAAAGGCATCATGTTAATCATTTTAAAATTGTTATTCCTTTATGTGTACACCAATCTAGGTAAAAGATTAACAGTGTTGCCAGCTTCCCTATACAAGTTCAGAAAAAGTTCCCTCCACAAGGAAAATGAAAGGGATCCTTCTACACGTCAGCTAAATCCTAGGTCTGTGAGTTCCACTAAGGTGAAGAATACAAGCAAAGTCACTTCCATACACTGCGCCAGGATCACTCTGAGAATCACTCATTGGGAGAACTGCTATCCCATTCGGGTGGGGTGGGTGTACTAGAGCCCTCTGTCACCCAAACAAGAAAAGGCTGGGCCACCTGGCAAGCTGATGTGCTACAGCGAAAAGTGGCAGTCACCGGGACTGCTGGCTGCCTGCCAAAATTTTCAGCCAATCGGAATTCGTGCAGTCCACTTTGCTCCTTTCCTTTTTGCACACTCTATTTTTCCTTGTTCGACTTCTTCAAGGAAGGCCAAAGACTTTGCCAATGTGCACTTGGAAATAATATTTAAAACCCTGCCCCTTATTTCTAAGTCAGTGAATTAGACATGATCAGAACAACTCCTACAGTACTACCCTCACACAAATGGCTGATTCGCAGACTGGGGCATCTTGCGGTGCCAAAAAAAGAAGGAAGTGCTCCAAGAAAAATGCAACGACGGGGGTCAGTCAAAGGGACACAGGAGCCAATGAAAAGTGCTCTCAATAGCCAAGATGGAACCATTTGAACAAGATAAAGTACTATTGGATTTGAACCCAAAGTATAGGATAAATATTTGATTGACTCAATGAATAATGGAGGTCGGGGGGTAGAGAAGGAACTAATCTCCTGTGTAGAATTCCAAATAATTTGTGTAGATTCTCACCCCTCAAGAAGGTGGAGCACAG